GGGTGAGGGTATGGGTGGGGCAGGTGGCGCGCGAGGAGCAAGGAAGTGAGCAGGGCGTGCTGTGCAGGCGGCGCAGCAGCAGCAGCAGCGTGGGCGCAAAGGCTGGCCGCAAGGCGCGCGCAAACACAGCACTCACGGCACGCACACGTTCTTCCCGTCTCTCGCCACACACGCACGCGCACATGCACACAACATTCTCTCTCTCCCTCTCTTTCTCTCTCTCTCCGTCTCTCTCTCTCTCTCTCTCTCTCTCTCTCCCTTTCTCTCTCTTTCTCTCTCTCACACACACACACACACACACACCAACGCGTCCTCACCATGGCTGTTGACCCGCTGAGCTCGTTGAGCACGTAAGCCAGGTAGCAGTCCTTGTGCTTCGCCGGCACAAAGAGGTACTGCTGCCGCAGGGTGTCCACGGTGGAGTACTTGTGGGCCACCTCCACCTGGAAGGCGGACGGGCGCAAAGACGCACGGGTGCGGGAGTGGGCGCGTTTGCGGCAGATTGTGTCAGGGAAGTGCGTCGGCAAGGCGTGTCGGGGAGGCGCGTCGCGCGACGTGTCCTCAGCGACGAGCGAGATGGGTGGCCATCATCACCAAGGGGCGGCGCCTGCGTTGTCTTGATCATGCCAGGTTGCCCTCGCAAACAAACAACTTGCACACAAACAAACCTGGGCGATACCACCTGCGTGATTGTGGGCCCAGGGAGACGGTGGACCCGCACACTAAACAAGCGGCAGGAGGGCCCAGGTGCCTCGCGCGCGGCGCGGAGCGGGGCGAGCCCAGCCGCTCCCACCTTGACGGGGTTGACCAGGCAGGCGCGCTGCAGCTTCTGAACCTTGTTCGTCATGGTGGCGCTGAACAGCTGGGTGCGGCGCTCACGGGGGATGACCTGGAGGCCAAGGAGGGGGATCACATCCAAAACGTTGAGTAGCGCGCCCGGGTGGGAGGTCATGAAAGCCTGAGCGGGTGGGGCTCCAGCCCTGTCCCGGAGACAGAGGACAGCTGAACCTTCCGAGGCAGCGCTGTTTTGCGTGGACTCGAGCCTGTGCGCGCCGCGAGCCTCGCACAGGTGTGGCACGCACGAATGGCCCAAATGCACCCTCTCTACTCCCCTGCAATGCAGGCGCGCGCGTACACACACACACACACACACACACACACACACACGCACACACACACACGCACGAATGCACGCATGCACGCATGCACGCACACACAAGCACCCCAACAGCAGCGTACCCACAAGGCGTTTGAATGTGCCCCTCCATTACACGCACGCACGCACGCACGCACACACACAAACACAAACACCACCACCACCACCCCCGCTCACCTTGAGTATCTGGTCGATCTCCTGCTCAAAGTCCATGTCCAGCAGCTTGTCGGCCTCGTCCAGCACCAGGTGTCTCAGGGACCGCATGCTGAAGCCCTTGGTGTTGGACAGGTGGTCCACCACGCGGCCCGGGGTGCCCACCACGACGTGCGGCCGCCGCGCCAGCGCGATGGCCTGGGAGTGGAGGGCGGGGACGGTGTGTGTGACAGAGTGCAAGGATGTTTGGGGAGTGTGTAGTGTGTGTATGGAGGGGTGTTGGTAAGGGGGGCCGAGGCTGGTGAGACGAAGCACAGCGGCAGGACGTGCGCGCCGCTGCGCCAGGCGGCTGCGACTGTCAACACCCCGTTGCAACAAGGTCCTGCGACATGCCATCGGCCACTCGACAGCACGCACGCACAGCTGCTGCAAATGTCCCCCGCAGCCGCGAGCGCCGGCAGCTGACGGGCCTGCTCGGCCTCCAGCGGCCGCCCCCACCCCCGGCGGACCCCACCCCTACGCCCAACCACACCTGCGCCATCATGTCGATGCCGCCGACCAGCACCGCGGTCTTCAGCCCTATCCCGCTGCCCAGCGCCTCAAACTGCTCCGCGATCTGGATGGCCAGCTCCCTCGTGGGGGACAGCACGAGGGCGAACAGCTCCTGGGGCTTGTCCATCAACTCCTGCAGGATGGGCAGCGCAAACGCGCCCGTCTTGCCGGAGCCGGTCTGCGCCAGGCCGATGACGTCGCTGCCTGCGGTTTCAAGCGCGGGAGGAGCGGCGAGTTCATGCATGCGTATACACACGCATGTGGGTGTGCATGTAGGTGGCAGGCGTGTGTGCGTGCTGCGAGAGACCACGCATGTGCCGCATGCTCTGCTCCAAGCTGTGTGCCGCCGACAAAGAGCCTGCATTTGCTGATTGACTGCACGCCGCGGCTATTGGCATGGGCCTTGATCCAGGGAGCCCTAGCAGATATGACACTGTTTGCATAAGCTAAAACTCATGGCACGGTTGCTTAGCAACAACAGCAGCAGTGGCGCAGCAATGCGCGAGTGCGGCGGCTGGTCGGTGGCGGGGTGTGACGGCAATTGTTCAGGTCTGGAGCGCGGCCGCAGCACACATCATCAGTTCACAACTTAGAAGACACACCTTGCAACAGCGGAGGCACAGCCTGCTGCTGGATGACGGAGGGCGTCTTCCATCCCAGGTTCGCGGCCGCCTCCGCTAACTGGGTACACAAACCAAGCTCCTCAAACGCTTTTATTGCTGCCTTGCGCTCCTGGTCGGTGAGTGCGGTCGTCATTTTGGCACGACTCTGCTCTGCTGGATCAGCACAGGCCTGGGCAGTGCACAGTAAATCACGTAAGCGTGATTTTGTTCCTTACGTCGCTGGGGGACGGTGCGGATCTTTTCCAGGCGAAACACCGCCGAAGGCGTCACTCGCAGCAGCAGGTGCGCTCATGCAGCGGAGCGCCGCGCTACAAAACAGTGATACGTGATACCCATGCCCTTTACGGCTGCAAGCAAGCAAAAGTGGAACACGATTGCTGTAAGTGTATGATATGCCTGCGGCGAGAATGTAGAAGCCTGATCCGCGGCCCGTTTTGAATGACGCACCCCCCCTTGCAATTGCATGTCGTGGATTACCGGTACAGTACACCATGCGTGGCTTGAATCCACATGTCAACAGGCATGTGCACTTCCACGCATCATGGCCTGTCGTAAGCTCCGAAGCTCATCACAACCGCGGCTTGGCGCCCAACCCCAGCTGCAGCTCGCGCCCAAGCGCCCCCAGCCCAGCGTCCGCGCCAGCACCGGCGCCCGCGCCCGTCGCCGCCGACACCGGCCTGCTGCCCCCGACCGTGCTCTGTGGCGCAGTCGTCGCCGCCCGACTGCTCGTACCCAGGGAACCCCCGGACCCCACCCCCAGGTTGCCGCCGCCCGCTGCAGGCCGGGCCTGACTGCCCCCGCTGCCGCCGTACATCGCCTCCCACGGCTGCTGCCGCTTGCCTGGCGGCGCCCACGCCTGCGGCGGGCCCCCTGAATCCAGGGCGGCCCCGCTGAGGTGCGTTTTTGGGCTCGCCGCCGCGTCCAGCGCGCCGTTGGCGCTGCGGCGTGTTGGGGTTGGTGCGCCGCTCGAGCCAGGGTGGCGGTGGACGAGCAGCGGGGCCGCGCTGGGGCGCGGGCGGCCGATGCGTTTGCGCTGCAGGTAGCTCCTGGGGGTGAGGTGACGGTAGGTCGGGCAGGTTGGGTGGCTGGCCGCAGCCATGGCATGCACAAACGGGTGACTCCAGTTCCCTTGAGGCACCCTTCTTTCCGCAGCTGAGATGAGCCCCTCTCCAGCCGTGGGCTGACGCACGATCGGCGCTGCACAGTAGGCGGTGGGGCATGCACAGCATCGTGGCACAAGCATCAACGCACCGCCATGCTGACTGGATGGTGACCGCCGCCCAGTGAGTCTTGACGCTGTCCGGCCACACAAAGTTGAAGTCAAGCGTCACCTGTGATGGGGTGACCCCGCCCACCCGGGGTGAAAGGAGGGGGGGCGGGCAGGAGGGTGGGGCGGAAGGGGAAGAGAGCGGGGGCAGTTGAGGGCATGGAAGAGGGCCCGATAATTGAGTAACCACAAGAAGGCACGGCACATTCGTACGTACAAAGGACGTGGCTTGAGGACATGCACCAGAACTCGGGAGACAAGGGAAATCGGGGACGCAGCCTGGCGAGACAGCACCAAAGCGCTGGTCCCAGCAGGGTGACAGCAGCAGGACGGGCGGGGGGGAGGAGGGAGCGGCGGCGCGCGGCGCGCACCGTGGGCGTGGCGTGCTCTGCGGCGTTGCCGCGCATGATGCTCCACAGGTTGGCGCTCTGGCTGAAGTTCTTCGCGACGCCGTCCATCCGGAAGTCCTGGGGGCGCGGGCGGTGGTGGATGGTCCTGAGGCTCCGGAGCAGCTGGTGGGCGCAATGACGCGTGCCAGACTGGGCGACAGGGGGCAAATACTGCTCGCGACGCGGTGTCACTTATTAGCCGCACGCTTCCCACGTGTATGCACGCTGCGCCCCCCCAGAGAGAGTGTGCAGGAGAGAGTGCGTAGGAGCCCTCAGGCTGCGCCCATTCTCCTGGAGAGCTTGCAGTGAGCGCTGCGCCGGACAAACATTCACCTCAAAGCAGTTGTGCTGTGCGGTGAGCGCCATGCGGTGCAGCCGCCAGGCTATCTGGTACTCGTCAGGGCGGTACATGCGCAGACGGTAGTGCAGGCCCCCGGGCCGGATGGGGTCAAACACCACCGCGTAGCCCAGGCGCTGGCACAGCGACACCTGGAGAAGAGGAAATGAGTTGGCGGTGGGCGGTGTAGGAGCGGAGCTTGGGCCGTGTCATTACCGTGCTACGCTTGTTTGGGGAGGGTGACCAGCCCTCTGATCATTGGAGGGTGATGCAATCATGCCGGATCCACTCACACGCCCGCACACACACACACACACACACACACACACACGCACGCACGCACACACACACACACACACACACACGCATGCACACACACACACATGCACACGGAAACGCCACCAACGGGGAAATTCACCTGCTGCTCGCTGCCCAATGCGCGCAGCACATCACTCCAGCCCTGCCGCCTATCCACACAGCGCGCCCAGAATGCTGTCGCCACTTCGACCTGCAGTGGCCCTGAGGCAGGGTCCGACTCTGGCAGCAGCGCTAGCAGCTGAGCCAGCTGGTCGCTCTGTTTGGGGGAACGGGTGTCACAGCAGGCGGGCCAAGGATTTGTTGGGGTTGGCATCGGCGCACGCACTGCATTGCAGATAGTCGCCGTCGCTCCCACGTAACCCACAAGGTCCATGCGCCACGCCGTGGACGCTGCCTGCACCGCCCCTGCCCATTCAATCGCTCTCAGACGCAAATGCACACGCGCGCACATACACGCCAACGGCACAGCGCCCCCCTGCATACATATATAACTGCTGCGTCGACCAGAACGCACCGTGATGTAGTGATGGATGGAGAAGAACCGGATTGCAGCCACAAGATGCTCACTGTCGCGCACACGCACTGCACAAGGGTCCAAGCTGACGCGCCGCATCGCCGACACCTTGCCTGCGCATGCAAGTCGACAGTGCGTTCATGAAATTGTGCGGGGGCGGCAATCCACAAGGGGAGGAGGGTGCTCGACTGCAGGAGTGGGTGAGTGTCGCAAGACAGTGCTGCATGCTCAAGGCATCTGTGCGAAATGCTGCGCGCCCGCAGCACCGCAGAAACTCTACCTGTGAGTGGGTGGCCCGCCCCCCAAGTCTCGAAGCGCCCGACGGCGGCCGTCTTTGCGCCAAGGCTGGTCGCATGCACTGCCGCGTCCAGCTCTTGTGCATCCAAGCGTGCGTCACCTACCAGGTGGGCCACCAGGACCTGCGCCCGCAGCGGCAGCATGTTGTATTTGATAGCATGATTGTGCATGTGTGCACTATATATGTTTGCTGTTCTATCTTCACAGAGAGCTTGGCTGACTGCCACGACCCTTCCCTAGGTAGAGGCAGGAAGGCCCCAGGCTAAGCCACGCAGGCAGCAGGGGCCGTGTCGTGGAAAAGCGCTGCCAGCTGTGGCGACGTGTCCTCCATCCACTTTCCCACCGCAAACTGCTGCTTGGTCAGGGGCTGTGCGTCGTCGGGGATGGGCCGCAGGTCCGTGAAACACAGCTGAGGGGCGAGTTGTGGTAGCGCGCGCGGTGTGTGGTCGTGGGCTCGGCAGCAAAATGGAACCTTGATGGAGAGGACGGGTTGCGACCTGGTGCGGCCAGCAAGATTCCCAGCACCAGCCGCGAGCGCCGAATCCAGCAGACTGCATACCTACCAGCCAGCGGCAGGTGACCCTGATCCCACCCCCCGATTCCTCACCGCCAGCTCGCCCTCTCGGGGCACCCTGAACAGGTGCGGCTCCCTCAGCAGGCGCTCCTCCAGGGGGCCACCGTCTAGGGTGACGCTGTTGGCGCACAGCACCAGAGGCCACTCGCACAGGCCTGCGTCCACCTGTGGCGTCATTTGGGGATCATCAAGAGGACAGGGCACCTTGCAGCATGCAGCCAGTGGAGAATTCAAAGAGATCATACTTGAGCCAAACCCCTCCTGATTTGACGTGCAAGCAAGCAATTGCTGCAGCATCATCTTGCGTTGGGGCTACATACTTGAAACCAGGCGCTGTACGGCCACATTATGAGCCTGGCCAAACACGGTCAAGCTCGTGCTACACAGCACCGCACACCTGCTGCTGATACAGCTCCACCAGGCGTACCGCCACCATGTAGTGTGTCTGGTGGCCAAGCTGCAGACAGTAGCGGCCAGTGGGGTTGGCTGGGCTGAACAGCCGCAGTACGCCAATGCGCGCGTCGGCCTGCTCGGCCTGCCGTAACATGGTGGCAGGTGCGGTGCGGGTTGAGATTAGAGGGGTTGGACGTAGGCAAGGGGTTGTGTTGCCCGCAGGTTTTGCCAATTACGCGCACTCAAGGTGTCCAGCCATTGAAGGGATTCAAGCCCATGGCCAGCAACATGCTCAGGATCTCGTGCTGTCGCCCCAGTGGAAACAGCTGGTCGCCACCGCCATGCAGCCAGGCGCGTTTCTTGCCGTTGCCCTTGGCCCCTCATGCCAATCCCCACCTGGCTGGGTGTGAGCGTGGTGTACACCTCTGCTGCAAAGTTTTCTGGGTCAACCACCCGACCAAACACCTGGGGCGTGCGGGGTTTTGGGGTTTTGGGGTTGTGGGGTCCGTTCGCACGCCTGTGCTGGAATTTTGCAAATGTGCTATTCTTCGGGAGTGGCTGTGTGCATGATGAACCAGGCACCACCTGTTCTCTGAGCCTCTGTGGCCCAGGTGAAAAAATGGGTTAGTGCCGCAAGGTACGATACAGGATGACACAATCGCCTTGGGCAGCTGCGCTTGACACAGTGGTCGGCGGGCACTATTCCTCTGGCCTTTCTCACCTTGACAGCCGCCTGCACCCGGTCCTCTCCGTAGTGGAAGCCGCTCACAATGGTGCCGGCCTGCAGGTTGATGCAGTCCCACACAGAGATGTTGGAGGACTGGAAAAAGTTGTCGCAGCACCATATTTTCAAGCAGAGTATGTTCTGTCAAATGAATCACTGTAAAGTATACTTGATGCAAGCCCCAATGGATGGCAACGCGGCAATCACTTGTCGGCGAGGCAAATATAAGCCCCATCAGTCTGCTCAGCACCCCTTGTGCGGGGGTGCTGCCGCCGGCCCCTGCTGATGCCTTGATGTGTGTCAAGGCCACAAAATATGCAGTTTCAACCCTCCAACTCTTCCAAGTACGCAAATGCTTTCCCCCCTCATACACCCAAGCCACACGCAAACACACAAGCAAACCTACAGATGCGGGGAGGCATGCACAAGTGCACGTGCGCGCACGCGCATGCGCACGCACACACACACACACGCACACACACACACACACACACACACTTACACACTTTTGTTCTCTCTCTCTCTCTCTCTCTCTCTCTTCTCTCTCTCTCTCCCTCTCTCTCTCTCTCTCTCCCTCTCTCTCTCTCTCTCTCTCTCTCTCTCTCTCT